CAGCGAAAGATTAGTTCACAGAGTGATTCGTTCATAGCGGAAGATTAGTTCACAGAGAGTGATTCGTTCATAGCGAAAGATTAGTTCACAGCAAAAAATTTGTTCACAGCGAAAGATTAGTTCACAGTAAAAGATTAGTTCACAGATTGCGATTTTTTCGCAGTTAGTGATTTGTGAGTGATTCGTGAGTTCAATATGAACAAATCTTTCATATGACTCGGGAGTCACGAGTCATATGAAAGATTTATTCATTTTGAACGAATCACTCGCGAACGACACATCACTAGAGAGCTGGTCAAGTTCTGCTCCAAGCGGGTTGGCGTGCACTGTGGCCAACATCAGTGCTGATTTAAGGTATATATGTATATATGTATATATATACATATATATGTATATATACACATTCTGCATATATGCATACATATATATGTATACATATATGTATATATATATATATATATATATATATATATACACACATGTATTTACATATATACACACCTGTGATAGAAGGCGTTAGTTACAACATAGAAATGACGGACAAAAAAAATACACAAACCAAGTCCTTTGTCGTAAATCAAACATTTAATTTTCATAATTCTCATATTTCTACCATTTTAGTAACATTATAAATCAGCATCTCACCAAGGATTGCAACTAACATTTTGAAAATATACAGTAAATAAAATGTGGCGTGGAGCAATTGTGATGTCACGTGTATGTCATAATATTAAAAAAACAAAAAAAAAAACAAATCACCAGTAATCCCAATTGAATGTGACCAGTTTCTTTCTTAGTCCTAGGACCAAAGTATCGTGTTTGCTTTTAACCCCCCCCCCCAAAAAAAAACACACAATTGTAGACCTATCAATACGTAGATAAGATTCTAAAGGATTAGCTTCAGCCAGATTCATCTACTAAGATGCTAATGTAACGTAATGTTTTTATATACGTGTGTAGAAAACAGATTTTCTGTGTCAGTATCCACCAGTGTAAAATGTAGAATAGAAATATTTTTTACTATAGGTTAAAATAAAGCAATAAGGGAGTCGTTGCCAATCAGGGAAATGCCAAAAAATGGAAGATCGTCGGAATCACGATATATAAAACAGAAATGAAAGAAAGAAAAAAAAAATCATTAAAATCGTTAGCTATGAGCTGTAAGCTAACACAACTGAAGTGGATGTTATTTTAAAAGACGTACGTTACTGTAATTAAAGTTTGTATTCTATCGTTAGCCTCCTCACCTGCTACTGTGTGACGACGGCGGTCTGAACACATCGAGTAAAAGTGACATTTACTTTGACTTTCACTCTTACATTTGAACCCTAAAGATTTTTAGTTAACCTACGAATTAGCCAACTCACTTCATAAAGATACTGCAAGCAACTAGAGAAAGAGAGAGCTTTACATCTATAACCAGCACTTACACATCACCAAACATAGCAAGCCCGTGTCTGACCTCTGTATAGGGCCATTTGGAAAAAAAAAAAAAAACACCGGTAAAAATGCAGATATAGCATCTATTGGTCATTAGGTTAAAAGGTGAAAACATCATATTTCAAAACATTTTAGTCCTTAACATTATTCAAACGAAGTAACGTCTCACTACATGGCAACCGAGAGCTTCACGTGTCGGAAAAAAAGAAACGACAGAAGGAACACTTCTATTTAAAACGTGGTGTTTGTATATAGAACTCTGTTTGTATATAGAACTGTGTAAACCGTGTAGTAAAACATGGACGTAATATTACGCACACTCACTACGATGTGAATTTTTATTATTTTTCTCCCTATTTTATTTTTCTTTAAAATTCCCGACATACAATATCCATCGGTCCAGCAGCGACGATATGTAAACAACACACTGAGAGGGGCTGAGTTCTAGCTGATATGGGCGGGGCTTGGGATGGATGGATACGTGGTGGGCGGGGTCTAGTCAGCTGACAGCTGTAGGCTGGAGGATGTTGGTGGTCCCAGAGCATTTCAGCTGAAACACACGTTAGAGACACTTTGGTTGAATGACGGCGAACTGATAACAATATTCAAATCACTTAATTTTAGCTACGTGACATTGGCTAAACAATAGCTACAGATGAGGTTTAAATCGTCAGCATGCCATTTGACTTTTTTGTTGTTAGTCATTGATTCCAGTGTTTCCATTCTGATAACCTTCTAATTTCGTGGTTCCAAATGTGGAGGGTCCGGATCCCTATGTTGAGAGATTCAACATAGAGGTCCGGGGCCTAAATGTTATTATTTGTTCTTGATTACTTACTGACTCTGTAACGAAGCACATGTTAAAACTGGTTACCTTACTTGGTGGGCACAGTGGGTGAGCCGGAGCGGTGGAAGTGGATGTTCTGCCACTTGCTGTCACGACGGTGCCAGATGCGAGTCTCCTCCGACTGCATGGTGCGAGGCATGCCGTTGAAGTCCACATACTGGGTGAGGCGGATGTAGGCGATGCAGGCGGCTTCCTCGCCGATCAGGTGGACGTGAGGGTTGAGCAGGATGGTGTGTATGGGCTGCTTCGCTTTGGACAGAGCTGCGGTGCAGGAGACAACACTGGTCACGGACTGATGAGACTGACGAACACTATATCGCAAAATATAGCAAAAACTAAAAGACATCATAACATAATTATACCTATGATAGTTTTGGCTTTAAAAATGTGGATTCTCGCATTAGCGAACGATCGCTGGTAGCTTTGTTTACCTAGACTAGATCGTACACAGCTTACTATTGGCTAATACAATTTGTACTCAGTGTACTATTGGCTAATTGAGCATGCTCTTCTATTCCTCATGCTGATTGCTACGATGCTCATCTCTAGCGTCTATAAAGAACCTTTAATTTAAGTTTTAGTTTTAGAGAGACAGACAAGGGGAGATGTTTAGAGATGCTACGATGCATGAGCCAATCAGCGTGGGCAACACAATGCTGTGATCTCTCTGTTGATCTCCTCTAGGTGAACAAAGCTAGTTTTTTTTACCATGAAAATATTGGAAATTAAAAAGGATTTAGCGTAAACTACCGCAACATAGCAAAACTCTCAAGAGATTGGAATAAAAGAAATCTGCGACGTACTGAGGAAGCGAAAGGCGAACCGTCATATAGAGAGGGAACACTGAAAACACTTTAAAAAGTCAGTCATATTTACCGTTCTCGAAGTAGAAACGGTGAAAGTCAGTTCCCTCCACCAGGTTCCCCAGGGCTTCAGGCTCGAAGGACGTGAGGCCAGGATCACATATCTTCCTGAAAATTTTGCAACAAGACATGGGTGTGACTTTATTGCCGATCTAATAAACTTTACACAAAAAACAAAAGGGAGTGTGTCTGAGTGCTCAACTGACGTGTAGGCCTCAAAGTCTCCATTGTTGATGGCCTCGATCAGCTGCTCCGTGACCTTGATGATCTCCTGCTTGCGAGCTAAAAAACAGGAACAGTTTCAAGTTGGACAAAAAAAAAACCAACAACTTGATGGCAGAAGTCATAAATGTCAATAAATAAAATTATATATATGTATATATCTCGAAACATAAGGACAACAATTCAACACCATCACACGGGATTAGGAAGTGAACAACTATTGTTAATAAAAAACAAAATCACACAGCACACAGACGACATCGAGGTTACCTTTCATGCTAAGTAGGTAAGCTAGGAGACAATGAACGGACAGAATAAGTGCAGCTGTTGTGGCTTCAAGTACGACCACTACTGACATTCAGAAACTGGCAAAGACAGGAACAGGGACAAAGACGAACACCAAGGAAATGAAATGGATTCACGCATTGGGGAACACCAACTTTTCTCCATCGTTACCTTCCACGGCAGGGCTTCCGCTGCTGTTCTGAGCCATCTGAACACTTACAGTCTGCCTCTGAAAGGCCTGTGCATTCAGTCCTTGGACTGAGAATAGAACGAAAAGACTAAGAGCTACCCAGTGAGACATGTTTCCCCACATCACCGTCCTCCTCGGCGGCTCCAGCTTTACGAGTTGCACGGAGACAGGAGAGGTGGCTGTACTCACTCAGAACAGAGGAACTCTGATTGGTTGAATTTGTACCTTAAAACGCAGGGTGGACTTTACTGTGCAAATAATAAATCCTTTCTAACTGATAGGCTCAATAGAGACAGCCTAGATAAGTGCACTTATGTAAACAGGACAGGGTAAAATGGGCATTATTACGAAACTGTACTGATCTAATTGCACATAATGTTAGCATTAGCGCTGGTCGAAAGTTCAGGGTTGTATTTGCGGAATTGCTTGAACTGCAAATTAAAACTCAAAAACTAACTGTATACAGTGCAGATCATTGTATGCACATAAGAACAAACCTTGATCGACAATCGTAAAACAGGCATGGGCAAACTATGGCCGGATGTTGCCCGATCGGCTTTTTAATCCGGTTTTCCAAATTATATAATTTATTTATATGATCATTATACTTCTGCCTTTTCAATGCAATACTCACGTTTCACCAATAGATGGTGAAAGAAAATGATAGCAGCATGTTAGCATTTGAACCTTTATGCATGTCCCCCATTCAAATGTACGACAATTGTGTCCCGGAGTCAAAAAGTTTGCCCACGTCTGAGCTAAAAGATTCTGGTTGAACAAATTAACAGCATTACAAATCAGTTCACTTGTGGGAGAAATAAAGAAAATACTAGAAGTTCATTTTATTTACCTTCCTTCAATAGTTCTGTACCCTCTAAGGGGCCCTGCCTCACATTTTTGTAACAACTTAGACTTGACTTTTGCCAAGTACAAGAATTATTACAAGTGTATAATGAATTAAGAACCCTTTTTGTGGGACTAAAAATCCCCAAAATCTTTTTTCTTTTCTAAAGCTACTAGAAAACCTCTATGACGTAGATCAATGGTACGACCCTCCTCCCCACCCCCCCCAATAGATCAATGGTACGACCCCCCCCACCCCCCTCTCACAAAAAAACAATTATTTAGTTTTAGTTTACAGTTCAGTTCAAATATGTGCAAGTACTAAAATAAGGGATAGTCAATTTCTACTAAAATCGTTTTGAGTCCTAAAACTTCTGGCTGTATGGTTTGGGGAAATAAAGGAGCCTGTGGATCCTAAGTCAAACCACTGAAGGACAATAAGCTTAAATTAACAATTACAAAATATAATACTGACAGGTTTGGGATCGAAATCAGGATGCAGTACCAGCTACCGGCCTCTAGAGGGTGGTAAAAGACAGCAATTCGGGTTTCAGTTCTGTCATAAGGTGCGGAGCACGTTTTGTTTCAGTTACATCTTTAACTTGGAATCTTCATCATACATAAGCCCACATAAAAATGTAACAGTTTCTCTGGATCAATACTAGTTCACTCAAATATATATTTATACTAATATTCTACCTGAGACAGAGGTCTGCAACCTGTGGTTCCTCAACCACGTGTGGCTCTTTAGCCGCTTTTCATTGGCTCAATGTAAGATCATTTTTCATGTTTTTGAATTGGCTGCATTAACTGTGCTTAATATAAAACAAATATTACTACTGATGCATCAGATCATCCAGTATAATGAGTAGATAACACACAGTTTTTTACTAGTCGGGTTTAAACCATTACACATGACACTAATTTTTAAGGCTTGCTTGCCAACTGCAAAACAATATAATAGCATACTGATAGTGACACTGCAGTGCTATTATTTTTATTTACTTTAAAAAAAATGCATATGAATTATGCACTTCTGTGGTACAAGTTAAACAATGAGAAATTGGCAGAATTGCAATAAAGATATTAATTAATTTCTGGAAGGGAATTCTCAAAGAATTATTTAAGATCAATCGATCAATTCATCTATCTATTTATTTATCTATCCATCCATCATCTATCTATCATCCATCCATCATCTATCTATCATCCATTATCCATCTATCTATCCATCATCATCTATCTATCATCATCCATCCATCCTGTGATAAGAATATAAAAAAATGTCTCTTTTAGGGTTTAATGTTGCAGACCCCTGACCTAGCGTTGACCCTAAATCTACTTGTATTCTACACGAGACTTTGTCCTTTGGAAATTAAACTTACACTTTGAGTTGTTAGGGTCTCCATGCTGGGGGTCAGGCCCCTGCATGGTGGCGTGACTGGGGCTGCAATGGCATGTGGTGGGAGGGTCAGAGAAAAAGACCAGAAAAGAAGATATGAAGAAGAGGAGCAGGTAGACTGCCACCAGTGCCCACAGGATGTACTGGCAGCACTCATCAGCACCGGGACAGACGCTAGGAGAGTACCAACAGGAAGAGAAGGAGAAGGAGGAGGAGGAGGAGGACGAAGAGAAGGAGAATTGGGAGGAGGAGTGATGGCAGTCTGAGGCTGATTGGTCTAAGTTCTTCAGGTGGTAGATTTGTGGACTACAAGAGGACGCTGGGATGAATGGATGGGAAGGTAAAGGTAAACACAGACAACAACAACATTGAAATGGAGAAAAGAAAAGGATGACTTCAATAAATAATATTTCAAAACAGAAAAATGAAAACATGTGGAAATGTTCAGGTCATGTGATGTGGTTCCTCTCTGCAGGTGAATGTTATTGACAATAATCGTAATAAATATTAAATATATGTAGAATAGGAGGCTACAGACCCATGATGTGGGAGTGTCCCTCTGTTCAGACCTTTGGGGGCCATGTATCTAAAATCACCGTAACAGACAATCCAATCTTGATTCTCCTGAATGATGGCTCTCAACTTACCAAGTGAGATACAGTAGTCCCTCGCTATTTCGCGGTTCATCTTACGTGGATTCACGACTTCGCGGGTTTTTGAAACTGCATATATAAAATATACTGTATCCCGGATTTGGATCTGCAAGAGGTGTCACAGGAATGGGACGACGACATGGTTCGATCGGTCCAATTTCGCAAAACAAACTCGACAACGTAGCTACTCTACGACTGGAAAAAAAGAAGCAGCGGAAGCAACTGCCGATCACAATGTTCGAGCCAGTTCCTGCTACTACTACGGATACACCTTCGGAAACCGTGGAAGAGGTGCCCCAAGAAATGGTACCACCCTCTGAATAGACTCTGAATAGTAAAATCAATCATCGGCTGCGCTGTAAGAGTCATCATCACCTTCCTCATTATCATTTTACTGCGCATCAATACGGTGTCACTACTATGGAAATTCAGTTCTTGCGGCAGGCCTTGGAAATTTTCTACCGCGATAAACGAGGGATCACTGTACAGCACAAAGGCTTGCTTAGGGGCCTCACAACTGCCAAAAAAAACTAAAACTCAACTACAGTAGCATTGCCCTCAGTGCAATTTCCGCAATGTTTTCCCATTCTTCATTTTTACACAAAGGCTAGGTGCATCACAAAACATGCCGATTTAAATATTCCCTGATATTTCCAACCATTTCTGAACCTCTTTGTTCCTGGGGTCTGGGATTAGCTGAGAGAAAAAACAGCGAGGCAGATAAGCAGCTGGAGAAACGAAGAGGGATAAACTGTCTCAATATAGAAGGGGAAGAAAAGTAAGAACACATTTGAAGCTGCAGTGACAAAGCTAATGGAGCATGGTTGAAATGCATACGCATCAGCTGTAGAGAGCATTATAAAGCTCAGAGGAGGGCCCAGTGTAAGTACTGGAAGCATGAGCACGCACATACTGTACACTATAAACCAGAGGTGTCAACTCATTCTGGTTCAGGAGTCACATACAGCCTGATTAGATGGACCGGACCAGTGCAGTTATAACATAATTACCTATAAATAACAATAAGTCTATATTTTTCTCCTTTGTTTTCCTGCAAATAAGTACGAGTATATTAGAAAATATTTATATTTAAATTTTCCTCCTTTGTTTTCCTGGAAATAAGTACGTGTATATTAGAAAATATTCATATTTAATGAAATATAATTTGACAAAACATCACAAACATGAAGTGTTTGTGGATTTTTGCCACTTTCAAGTGGGCTGGATTCAACCCCCGAGTGGGCTGATTTTGGCCCACGGGCCGTATGTTTGACGTCCCTGCTCTATACTGAGAAGGCCATCGATGTAACCAGTACAAGGGAACATTGCTCAGAAAAAGTCATGCCACGCCAACAGAATCTCTGTACTATCAAAGGTTACTATCATTATGATAAAGCCCAGAACAGATACAGGGAGACACAATAATCCATGTTGGTCTTTTAGTCAATATTGACTCCAGTCAGGTGACGCACAGGTCATTCTACTTCATCCTTTTCTACTTTGTCCTTGTTTAATGGCTAGTCGTTTAGCTGAATAAAGCTGCCGTCATGTGCACACACATATATTATGTACATACATATATGTATGTATATATATATAATTTTATGTATATATACACATTGAATATATTATTTGTTTTACAATTTTACTTAAGAGAAAAATTGATTTGATTATTATTATTAACAGGCATGGGCAAACTAAGGCCCGGGGGCCGGATGCGGCCCGTTTGGCTATTTAATCCGGCCCGGCAAACTTTTCCAAATTGTATAAAAAGTTGGAAAACTATAATTCTGCCTTTTTCCTGCAATACCCTCAGTTCCCCAATAGATGGCATAGAAAATGATAAAAGTATTTTAGCATTTCAGCCTTTCTGCATAACTTTTACATGTCTTTTATCTAAGTTCACACGAACACTCCATCTATCTGCTCCTGACCCGCCCCCTCTGTTCAATTTTAGGTCAACTGTGGCACGCGAGTTAAAAAGTTTGCCCACACCCTTTTCACAATATTGACTTTGTGCAGCTATTGGGGGAACATCTACATTTTCCCTTTTGTTTATAGTTTCAAAAACACTGCTGACTTTCTTTCTATTTTTATAACCTAATATGGTCCCAGCATTTTACCACGACCAGTTTAGAACTAAACGCAGAACGCACACACAGATTAGAAAAGCAACGTGTGAGACATGAGACGTGGACACTTACAGGACAAGGTGTAACACATAAAATACTGTGAGGCTCAGGACGTTCGTGCAAAAGAGCGAGAAAAAAAAGAGAGAGACACTTTGGGTTTGTTTTATTCTCCATACCTCTCACGTCCTCGTCCTCAATGGTAGTGTTAGCGCTCTCACTGGACTCCTGGGGGACAACACAAGGAACAATAACATTAGCTGGCAGATAATTAAGCGAATAAGGGAAAAAATTATCATTCAATCCCAACACCTTAACATTCTTACCATGTTTTTTTTTTTAAATTAATAAATTACTCAGTTGAAAGTTGAATACCCTTTTGCCAGGTTCTCACTTTATGCTTTTAGCTCTATGATTCTTTTTGAATTTTTGTGATGAATTTGAATTAAGGTTCGGTGCAGATTTGCAGCAACTGGTGGTGCAGAAAACATTTTAGTATCCAATGGATTAATGTATTATTAATACTTATACTTCCGACGAATGCATTATTATAAAGCAGAGCGCAAAATACACTAACACTAATTTAAGGAATAACAGATTATTTTTAGTACTGTGCTTAGTACTTCTCTAAGAATAAATGCTAAATGTAATGAGACCAGCAACATATTTATGTATGTACAAAAATAACAATTAACATTACGACTTATATCCCTTTCACATTGTAAGGACAACCAATCATTTTGGTTAAAGCAAAAATACATATGAAGTCAAACAAACATAAATAAGCAGGTGGTGTACTGGTACAAAATATGGGTCAGGAAGAAAACTTTTCAGTCTTTTTTTCATGATTCCACAACAGTTTGGAAACATGAAACACAAATACACTGTATAAAAACTGGACAAAGTCATGTAGCTGTGAGGGTGACGTCACCGAAGTCAGCTCCGGGTGATTGTCACGTTAAATCTTAGTAGTTAGAAAAAGGCCAATGTATAAATAAGGTTAGTTTTGTTCCATGACCTCATCCAGCAACTATGAGCTGAAATGGAAGTAGCTTTGTCCAAGATTTTTATACTGTCTACAGTCCAAAAACACATTAAGCTAAAACATTATGTCACTGCACAAAGCCAAAACACAAGCATGCATTTACTGCCCGTTCTTATACAGTTTATTGGATATTTATGTATATATGAAATTATGAAAAGGAACTTTAGCCATTTAGCATTTGACTTTAGAATTTTTTTTTCTTTTTTTTTTTTTAGTTTGGATTTTTTGTTCAAGCAGCAGCATGCGTAACCCCTTGGTCGCATGAGGATGACAGTACACACACATGCTCTTCATCAGTTTTAACCTTTGGCACCAATACTGACTTTTTTTTTTAATATTCTTTAGAGAGCAATAAACAAAAACGTAAACACAGATGAGCGTTGTGAGGTCAAAAGCTCACATGCAGCAGTGGGCAGCAGCAGCATGTGAAGTGATGATTCCTTTGTCTCTCACTTGACATGTTGAGTTTAAAGACATGACTTGGACACATATTTGAAGGAACGACCACACTGAGGCGCTAGTCTAAGTGACACCGGTCGGCTGCGGCCCACCACCTCTGACCAGCACCTGATCAGCTGTATACCTTGTTTCCGTCAGCTGGGTTGTGGATAACTGTGGTTTGTGGCTCCTGATAGAAGTCAGCGCAGAACAAGAGTGAGACGGGAGAAAAAAAAAGGTGGACAGGAAACAGTGTCGAAACAAGAGAGGGGGGAGGAGATGAAAGTGTGGAAGGAAGTGTGGGAAACTGACACGCATGCCATTCACTGGAAACCAGGGTGACTAGGGACGGCGTCAGTGTTTACAGACAGATGGCTGTGAGACAACAGATGACTCCATGTAAATCTCGGAACATCATTTCAGATGAGAGGAAAAACAATCAGCACGAAAACATTGTGATAAATGATCTGCTAATAGATTCCAGAACTGTCTTTCCTGGTCCACAGCTGTAGAACAGAAACCATAAAAACAAGTAAAACATGTACGACAGAGCTATCACATTCAAATGTTTAAAAAAAAAAAACACAACCAAATAAACCAAAATATGATCTAAGGCTTTATTTTTTTTAATGCTTTGATCCTTAGCCTCGTGAAGACTTTGTTTCCATAAATCCAATGTTAAGTTTCAAGACAGCCAAATATGTGCGTGACCAGAAATGAACTAAATTATGGGTAGGTGTATTTGTTATTACATCAAGCTGTTAAGAAGATTTCTTAACTGCGAAACAAACAACTGTGTTTCCAATTGCAGGAAGTTTGAATTGAAACACCTTTTAGAGTCACGGCACACCAAAAAAAAAAAACAAAAAAAAAAAAACAAACAAACAAAAAAAAGTGTTTATAATAAACGATAGTGATCTGCTAGTTTCAATGTACTCTAAAATTACTTTGTGTCAAACCAACACGTTTAGTGAAACACAACTCTGATCTACTCACAGGAATTGAAGAAACACACTCCACTTTGGGTCTCTCTATTTTACTTAATAAATTATATATTTTTTTATAATAAATAAATATTATATTTAAATATAAATATTTATTACAATAAACATTATTATTATTATTAAATATTACTAATTAAATAAAAAATAAAAAAATAATTTGTTTTGATTTCTGGATTTGGATTATTTTTGGTGGTACACCTGATGATCTCTCACACAGTGGTTGGGATTCATAGCTGTAGGCAGAACATCAGTTACCACTAGGATCTGAACCGATGTTCTTCCTGCTGTGGAGTGCTACACAAACCACTTTTGTGCCGTGTGGCCTTTCCTGCAGCTGTACTGATGTGAGAAGGTAATACCAGCCAATGTTGTCTCCACTTTATCAGACAACAAATCTCGACATGCAGCGGCCTTGTTACGGCCATTGCAGTCTTCATCAACAACAAAGGAGAATGTAGCTCATGTACTTCAATGTAGCAGTGCAACAAAGCAACGCTATGTCTGTAGCTAAAGATATTTCAAGTAATGAACAAAAGACAAAAAAGGACAAGCAAGCAGACACACACACACGAACACACACAAGGACAGTTAGCAAGGTAGGCAAGCAGTGTACCAGAGCAGGAGTGGGGACAGGCTCTTTGGGGCTGGTGACCACATTGGCCTTGTTGTTGATCTGGAGGGACAGAGTGGACAGACGGGGAGACAGGTAGGACAGGGCAGAAGAGACAAGGCTTAGTGTCCCAAAATGCAAGCGGCCGCTGTTGAGGAAAAAGTGGAACGCTGTGCCTGAAGCGTCTGAGGAAAGCTAACGACTCGAGACGTGTTATCGTCAAGGATTTGCCACTTTACAGCACGGACCAAAACAAATAACTCACTTACAATGTAGAAAACGAATGAATCTGTTAAAACTGTACAGACGTCTGCCTGGTGCGTAAGCTTTCGTTTTTTAATGTATTGTAAAACAGAGATAAATGTATGGTAGTATGGTATGTTTCAACTGCTATAAAGGAGGATTGCGGTTATTTCAGAATTTTGTGAAGCCCAGACTTACAGCCCACAGCTCTTACGAGATCTGATTTTCCAGGCTTTGGTGATTTGGAGGTTTTGAAACATCATTGAATCCATTGCATAATATGAGCCTGTTGTGGTTTAAGAAATGGCAATATGGTATACCGTCACATTGTAAAGCTACGGCTAATGGCTTAGTAGTAATTAGCAAACGAGAAGCTAAAGCCCACTGTCAAAAATCTCGTGTTAACATTAGTTAGTGACCTAGCCAGACGTCTGACCTGAAGTCGAACCTTACCCAAATGCATGCTGGGTGTTGAGATGGCATTTAAAGCTTGAGAAGCATTTACACACCTTGGTTTCCCACAGTGTGTGTAAATAAGAACGTGTATTGACTGTGTATCAAAGCAACAATAAGTGGATGAACAGTGGAGTTATTGGATATACAGGGGTGCCATTTTGCCATATGTTTAATCTAATTAATATACAAATGAATTATCGTGCCATTTTGCCATATGTTTAAAAAGTTGAATCTAATTAATATACAAATGAATTATCATGGTTAAAGTGATGACTATGACATTAATTATTGCATATAATTTCCATATTTTCTTAACGAACCTATAATGCGATATAACTGTTCTCTCAAAAATAAAAACACAAACATCATTCTAGATTCTTTTAAGTCTGTTTTACACCAAATTTAATCTGTTTATTTATATTATATATTGGTTATATACTGTGGTTTACACATTTTTATTCATACTAATGTTTTAATTAGGGATGTCCGATGATATCAACAGACCTACAATATCGGACGATATTAGCATAAGCTTATAAAATAATGTTTTAATTAGGGATGACCGATAATATCAACAGACCTACAACATCGGACGATATTAGCATAATTACGTAATATCTGTAAGAATCGTTATCGGTTTCCCTCTGATAATAAAAACCCATCACGCATCGTCTGGGTTTCGTGAAATGGTGTGTGCTCTAAAAACAGTGCGTTAACAGACCAGTCAGAACTTTAACTGAAACTCAATTGTAGTAACCTGTTTCTAAAATCCTTTATTGCTCTCAACCCAGCTTCTCCAAAAACTTCTTTTCGGAAATTAAGTGTTTGGACAATATCGGCATATCGGATATCTGCAAAAAGTTTATGTTGGACATCCCTAGTTTTAACTAAGGTTTTCTAATGGCTTGATTATTCAAAAACTGACCTTTAATTATAAGTCAATTTAATAGATATATTATTAAGCAATTGATTAAAGATGTAGAGAATTTTCTCAAACCCTTAATCAGTTCACATATTAGTCCAAGTGCACAAATTGAGAAGATCTCCCTCTTGATGATTCATGCAGTACTATATAAAAATAACGAGAAAGGAGGCTATTCAAATAAGGCTCTTTAGCTAAGTGGCAGTCCTAATCAAATTAGCAAACAGAAAAAAAACGATTAGGATCTGCCAAAAAAAGAAAAAACCTTTGTACCTCCTTCACCAGTTGTTGTTATTGCATTCACATGTGAAAGTACTGCAGTGATAGATCATACACAGGACTGAATGAGCAAGTCTTTCACTGAAGTTAAAAAAAAAAAAACAACACAAAAAAACCCCACGGAAATAAGGGACCACTGTAGTTTAAAGAGGGAAGAGGAAATTAGTCAATGACAAGTCAGAGACTTTTTATCATGAGTGTCTACTGGACTTCCTTGGACAAAAGGCAATGAATCAGAATGTTCCACAAGCTCAGCTCCCAACACATTTACAGACAAGCTGCAGAAGGCAGTGGAATTATTTAGCTGCTTTATGAGTTCACCACTGAGTTGGACACAGGAGGAGAAGAAAGCAAATATAAAACTTAAAGGCATCTGATTGATAAGTGATGAAAATGAAGCCAACAAGTGAATCTGTCAGGAAGGTGACACATATTGAACACAGATTTTTACTGAATATCCTTATGTCATATTGCAGCATTTCCATCCTTCCATTGTAACACTAACACTGCACAAACCTAGCTGATTACAGTCTAGACCAGTGGTTCCCAAAGTGTTCCTGTAGCGCCCCCTTTCTGTTACTAGGACTACTGGCAAGACCACTTATCTCATCACATTTTGTTTCAAATCTCCACTGGACTTTTTTTTTTAAACTAATTCTCACAAAACTGCTATTCTCACTGAACAAAGGAAATATATTTACAAATTACAGTGAACCCTCTCCTATCGAGGTAGTTGCGTTACAAGACCCACCGCAAAAAGGGAAAATCCGTGAAGTAGAGGCGAGATAGTTTTTATATTATTTACATATATATTTACCCTTTATGAACCTCCCTCACACTGCTATTGGAATAAAACAATTGGAAATTAAAAAAAAAGTACTACTGTAAAATAGCAAAACGTCCACGGATTGGATTAAAAAAAAAAGTCTACGATGTACTGAGAGAGCGAAAGGGGAACCGCGATATAGAGAGGGACCACTGTAGTTGATTTTTTTCCATTGTGACAGGAAAAAGAAAATACTGAAGTTAAAATTAATTTTCCTTGCTAAACCCTTCTTTTTCACACCCCCAGATAGGGCCCGCCCCCCATTTTGAGAACCACCAGTTTAGACTTTATGTCCTTGAGTCATAAAAAAAAAAAAATCAGCTGAATTATAGAGACAAAGAAATAAAATACAGTTCATCACACGGTCTTTAGTTTTAACACAGATGAAATCATCTTTGACATGAAAAACCATGATTAAACCTGAGAAACAGCCATTAAAAAAGCCTTCACAAAGAAACCAACAGTTCCCTAAATCAAATCAAACCGAACACTGATGCGTCATGTACAAGAAATACACAAAAGACTGAACTTACTTTGACACCATCCGTTTTTTTTTGCAGCAGGCTTCTGGCTGCTATTGAGAAAAAAAAGAAAACAATAGCAGAAATAAATCATTGGCTGGCAGGAATTAACATATGCAAACGCTCACACACACTAACACACACACATGCACAAGGTCTGTTTAAAGCTGTCCAATTACCAGCAACCCTCAAAGAGGGCTTTGCCAGAATTGAAAGCAGGAGAGAAAATGCAAATCAAGAGAGAAGACGAAATAAAACTTAGTGAATCATTCGTCTGGGCTCAGACTTGTCAGAGGGGAACATCGGTGACAGTGGCAGAAGCACTAACGGGACTGAGTTCTGCCACCTTTGATTTCTTTTGTGTTCGTTCTTAATCATACCAAATGTGGGGGAAAAAAAAAATCATGGATTTGTTCGGAAAACTTTTTATAGACATGATTTTCTCAGGTTTGTCGGACACAGCAAAACCCACCAGCCTGTAAGTCAACATGCAGGGGAGGTCAAAGACATTGAAGGATGGGAGGTAAAGGGGGGGAGGAAAAAGGGTTACTTTACTGTAGTTGGGTCCTATAGAAAAGTAATGTGTTTTATAAGCAGGAGTGATTCGTCAAAATGAGGACATGTGCATGTTTATTAGTTAACAGAGGATTTTCAGTGGTGACATCAGTTATCTTTGGGAAGCCATACTGGAGAAAGAGTAAACAGATGTGGTATATGCAATTACTTCTGCAAGGACTGTGTCATCACATATTAACTTGGATTTTCCTTTTCAACAAAATTTAGACCATGATCTTTCATAGTGACGGATAAGTAATGGCTCAACTGTCTGTGCAGCAAAGAAGCCTTTAGTCCAGACATGGGCAAACTAAGGCTCGTGGGCCGGATGCTGGACGTGGGCCTTCAGCTATTTAATCCAGCCCGCCAAACTTTTCCAAATTATATAAAATGTATTTATATTATCATTACACTGCCTTTCCCCTGCAATATCCACATTTCCCCAATAGATGGCGTAGAAAATGATAAGAGCATTTTAGCCTTTATGTATGACTATGTATGACTGACATGTCATTTATCTTAGTTCACACGAACGCTCCATCTATCTGCTCCTGACCCGGCCCCCCTGTTCAATTTTAGGACAATTGTGGCCCGCAAGTCACCTGCTTTAGTCCATTAGTCCATCCTTGGACAAAACCATAAAACATAAATACTGTAAGTTTTAAAAACCACTTTGTGGACCTGAGCATTTTTTTTCTTGACGCCAACAAACTTTAGCCGGCAAAACCCAAAAATTTAAATCAATGTCTATAGCTATACAAGCCTAGACTGTATATTCACATGATCATAATAGTGAACTTTGGTTAGAAATGCTGTTTCCACATGCTAAGGTACAAATCCAATCAACCTTTCCTTTTTCGCCTCCAGTATGACCACTAACTGATGTTAAAAATCATCTGAAAGTCCTGCGCTGGTGCTTTAGTAGACATGCAATGTCTTAGGACCAAACCTCAAAAGTGCAGTTTTGACACTGAACCAGTGTCAGCTGAACCTTGGAGTCTTACCTTACACAATAGATACCGCACAAAAACGGGCGTGGAGGAGGGAAGAAATACAAAAGTAAATAATTGTGTTCGGTTGTGTTTGAACATGTTGACTTTCTTTGAATGTACCTGAACACAACGCAGGTTTAGCGGTTCAACAGGAATCTGTTATGTTTGAGCTTGTCTGTTATTTGTCACAGAGGCTAAAATAAAAACAATAATAATAATAATAATTACAAGAAGACATGCCCAAAGATAGGAATGGGCCGAGCTATGCTAATACGAATTAGCTTCCAGCTTTGGACCTATTTCAATTTTATCATGTTTGCACTTTATGCTACCTAATAGAAGCTTAATCTCATATGGTACTCTGTGTTATGTTGGAGCTTTGATATTTAAATAAAGAAAAAAACGTCCTATTTAAAAATGAAAATAATTTACATTCTATATACTCTATATCAGACAAAATCCACATGGCGTTACTTGGTCCAGGAGTTTAAACTCTCTGTCTAGCTTATGATGCCGGCCATGTTTTCACTGACTGTGTTCTCGTCTGTGTCCTTCTGCTTCCCAGCACAGGGAGCACAATTTAACCAACGTATTACAGTGAATCTATCTCACAAAAAGACTGCAACCTGACGGGGATTACGACTGAACGCCCTTACCTGAAAAGTTGCGAGTAGCCAGCATTGTAGTCAATATGGCACCCTAAAAAAAAGAATGTGACAGACTTTCATGTTGGGAAAAGATCAAGAGTCAACGTTTTGCTTCAGTTGACAAGGCTAAATAAAAATGTTTTGGATCTTGTTCACAGTAAACGCAGTACAAAACAAATTTCATATATTAAAAATAAATTAAAAAAATTATCCCATGGGCAAAATAAATTGTTATTTACGTCTCTTCATGGGCCAGATATGGGGAATTTGTGGACTGGATGTGGCCCCCGACCCCATGGTTTGAGAACTCTTAAATCGCAAGTCCATTTTAATTCAATGGACCCATTCTGAATCACACTGCTACCGTTTCCAATGACATTACAATGACTCTATGTTGCCATTAGTGGCTTTATTTACAAATCAATAAATCTACAGCACTCGTTTTTTTGTTGTTACAATAACATGTTCACACTATTAATTTGTTTTAAGTTCTTTTAAAACAAGAGACAACTGTGTTTCCTCTCCGTTGTCCAGATGGCACATTTGTCATTTCATGATCTTATCTTTAACCACAGGTCTTGTGTATAAGATGGAGTTCTTCACGAAACACTGAGTGGATTCAAATCCAATTTTTGATGTAATGGAGAAGCAATAATGTGTCTCAATTACCGGAACTTAAAGATGCTTTTATGCTACTGTAGTGTTTTAGTGCTGAAACTTTCCGTTTCCTTAATGAAATCTTAAATTAGGTCGCATTAGCTAATTGGCTAATGCATGGCCTCTTCCCTACAAAAACAAGCAGAATTGATTGTCCAGTAAGAACCCCGAGTGACTCACCTTGAGTTTCCTTCTGGCGTTGAATTTCTTCAGACACTCTACCGTCTCCTGCCTGTGCATCATGGATGCCACGGTGGAGCGTTGCTATAGACGTAAATGCAAACCGTTAGCGGAAGAAAGAGAATTCTAATGTCCAAATACTTATAAATGTGCCAGTTTTTGTGTGTATTTTGGAGTGAGTAGAAAAAAAAAACACAACTCACGCATATCCATGGATGTTTGAGTGCGTCTGTGGCCGTGACTCTCTTGGCTGGATTAATGGTCAGCATCTTGTTGATCAGATCTTTGGCCTCTGGAGTCACTGTGTCCCACTCTGGGGATGGGAACTGTTTGAGGAGGAGACCCCAGAGGAAAGATTTAGAGAGTAATACCATGCTAAAGTGTACGTTCGCTTGTGCTAACGGTGTCAAAAAATGTGTATGCTAAAGAGAAGGTTACAAACAAATTCACATTCAAATTAAGTAACACATGGAACAAATAGTGACCATGTGTTGCTGGAATATAACTACCCAGCCGTTAGGACAGATTATGGGTCAATATAGGATATTTTCTTGTTACAAAGGAAGTGTAACTTTGAAAAATCAGGAGAGAGAGAGAGATAGAGAGAGATTAAGTGAAACAGAGCGAGAGAGGGAGAGAGAGTATCCTCACATCATAGGCTCCGGCTTTAATCTGTTGGTAGAGCCTGTGCTGGTCTTCATCCCAGAATGGAGGATATCCCACCAGGAGGATGTAGAGGATCACACCTGGCCCATGCAAACGTAGGCACACATACCAATCAACGTGGCACACAAACACAGGCACCAAATGACTAGTACATTTCTAAAAAAGGACCCCGACACAATGTCAACTCAACTGCTGGCTGCCAAAGTAATCATGGGGGTTCTACAGACTGAATGCCAGGACTGTGTGACCACAGGCGACACAAGGCTGTTGTTTCACTACAGCCACTGGGTGAGTCTGTGCAGGTGTGTTTGTGTGTATTTAAAACAGCAGCGCAGGCTTCGCAAAAAGGCTGGTGTGTTTGTGTGTGTGTGTCTGTGTCTCTGTGTGTGTGTGTCAGGCCCAGGTGGCCTTGCCAATGAAAAGTGTGTGTGTGTTATGTGTGTGAGTAATGATTAATTCAACAGGAGGAAACCGTCTGTGACAGACATTGTACTGCAAATTTCAAAAACCTTGAAAAGCAGGAGTGAGGGAATAAGGTATAATTCAAAGTACAATATGCGATTATCTGACCATATATATACATATATATGTATGTGTATATGTATAGTGAGAATCTACAATGTAACTAGTCATGAAAATACATATATGTATATATATGTATATAAACATATTATGTATATCAATATATACACATATATGTATATCTGTATATATCTATATACATATGTGTGTATATATATGTATATCTGTATATATATATATATACACACACATGTGTGACTATATAAATATATTTTCATGACATTGTACAGTTACATTGTAGATTCTCACTGAAGGCATCAAAACTGTGAATGAACACGTGTGGTATTTTCTACGAAGCAAAAAACAGTGTGAAATAACTCCGAACATGTCTTATATTTTAGATTCTTCAGAACAGCCACATTTTGCCTTGCACATTCTTGGCATTCTCTTGATGAGCTTCATGAGGTTGCCACTTGAAATGGATCTCCAGAGACGCTGAGCACGTGTTGGTTCTTTTACCTTCACTCTCATCCCAAACCACCTCAACTGTGTTTAGTTCAGGTGACATCACACAGCACTCTATCACTCTCCTTCTTGGTCATTCACCCTTACACATTTGGACCTGTGTTTGAGGTCATTGTCCTGTTGAACAATATAAACGACGGTCCAACTGAATGAAACCACACAACTAGAGACCATCTGTCACACAAAGACACGGCCGGTAGAACGAGAAGATTGAGAAGATTTCAAATTTGGACTGATCAGACCAAAGCATAGATTTTCACTGGTCTACCGTCCATTCCATGTGTTTCTTGGTCCGACTAAATCTCTCCTCTTTGTTGCTTTTCTTTAGTAGTGATTCCTTAGCAGCTATTTGACCAAAAAGGCCTGATTCACACAGTCATCTCTGAACAGATGATGTAGAGACGTGTCAGCTTCTAGAACTCTGTGTGGCATTTATCTGGCCTCCAATCTGGGGTGCTGCTAACTTGTTATTTCTGAGGCTGGTGACTCAGATGAACCTATCTTCAGCAGCAGAGGTGACTCTCGTTTCCTGGGATGGTCCTCAGGAGAGCCAGTTTTGTCATAGCACTTGATGGTTTTTGCGACTGCACTACAATTTCTGCCAATTTTCCAGACCAACTGAATGACCTTCAAGTACTTCAAGTAATGATGGACTGCTGTTTCTTTTTTAATAGCTGTTTGGTTCTTGCCATAAGCTGAACAGTTGTCAAATAGGGCTGTCTGTCTCTGTGCCAACCATAACTTCTGCACAACACAACCGATGGTCCCAACCCCATACGGGCAAGCAATCCCACAAATGGACCCTGAGAAGGCACCACTGTGAGGTAAAAACCACTTCAGGTGACTGCATCATGAAGCTCGCTGAGAGGAGGCTAAGGGTGTGTACTTGAAGAAATCATAAATATAAAACAATTTTATTAGTGATTTAAATTTTTTTTTTGCTACGTTGATATATTTAGTGTCATATATTTAAGGTTTTGTATATATATTTACAATGTACAAAGTAGTGAAAATAACGGAAAAAAATGAGTGAAAAAGTGTCTAAACATTTGATTTAAATATACACTGTATAATTTATATATATACAATTATATACAATTAATTGCAAATGTCTCTCTAACATTTAATTTCCTAAAAATTCAATGTAACGAAAACCACCGACGTAATCAAAAAACATAAATACTTTTTTCAAACAAACTGAAAAATGACTGAAAATACTAGTAATTAACCATTTAACCTGAAAAACATAGACTAAACATATGTACGTCATGTGTTTGTTTTCTTTTTATCACATCACTAACATCACTCATCCACGTGTTTTTAAAGAAATCTTCATGGTTTTGTTATGTAACTTTTCAGAGATGTAGATGGGTTCAGTTGTCATGAACATAGACTCCCTCATATTCCATCTACATATGATGCATCCATCATATGGATGCATCATAACCCATCTACATATGGACATAAGTGATAGCGAATGGACATAAGTGATAGCGAATATATTTTGATAAAGAAGTTTCTTCGGAATGCAAGTCAAAGGACCATCCAAACTACCATAAAAGGGCTGATCATTATGAAAATGGAATAAATTAAATATATGATATGATCGGGTAAAAAAATAAAATAGTGATTTGTTAGTCATGTAGAATCGCTGGAGACGGTTTACTACCTTATTTGATAGATTGTACTTGCTGTCAACTGGTGGTTCAAATATTATTTTTGTGTATTGCTAATAATAAGCACACGTTGAACATCTTACCACAGGCCCACATGTCCACAGGCTTGCCATAGGGATCTTTCCTCAGGACCTCTGGAGACAAGTACCCAGGTGTCCCAGCAAAACCTACAGCACAACAACATTAGACTGGATCATTATATCGAAAGCTTTACTGTACAGCATTAGTCGATTAGGCAGCTTTTGTGCGCCGAGGCCAGTATCAGACAGCCTACTTTTAAACAAAAGTCCAACAAGTGGGATTGAAGTTAGGTGCTTGGGGAACAGAGCAATTATTCTTGCATTCTGAGGAGAATAGAAAGAGGGAAGTAGGCCTGATATCTATTCAGTAGAGACTAATGCGAAAGCCAGGAGCAGTGGTAAACCCAGTCACTTTAAATCGGTAACAAGGGACTTGTATTGAAACTCAACACATTTAAGTAGGACAGACAAAGAGCAATTGTTCCATTTCAAATGATTTAAATAATGCCTTAAAGACATTTATCCATCGAGACGTACTGAACTAAAATCCAGTCAGTTTAACATGGATTTAAATATATATATATATATTTAAAATATATTTAAATATATATATATGTATATATTTTAAATTGTGATATAATGTGTGGTGTTATTTTGAAATAGGGCTGAGAAAATTATGTGTACTTACCAAACCATGCCTGCTGCTCTCCCTGTACTTCAATGGCCAGCCCAAAGTCTGCCAGTTTAACAGCTGCACCCTTTAGCTTGCTAGCTAGCAGCAAATTTTCCGGCTGCGAGTAAATAAACACAGTGACATATTTTTAGTGACATCATTGATCATTTTAAAGTTAAGAGTAAAAGATGGAGATAAGTAAGAGACCAGCCTTCACACACAGATACATAGAGAAAGGACTCAGAATAAGCTAGAATGTGGTGACCTTAGCTCAGTTGCATAGATAGCCAGCTGTCAAAAAGAAAAAAAAACCTGGTCAGGTGAAGTTTGAATGTTAAGCTTATCTGGCGAAAACTAAAAAAAAAAGTGTTTGGGTTAGAAAACAGTGACAGTGACTTGTGACTAAGCCCAGAGAGCTGAGAGGGAATGACGTTCAGCAAAAACATGAATAATTGTTGAAAAGCTGGTGTGAGGGGATAAGGTAAAACTGAAGGTACAATATGCAATTATTTGACCATATATATATACACATATATATGTATGTGTGTATAAATATAGTGAGACTCTACAATGTAACTACGGTAGTCATGAAAATATATATATATGTATATATACTCTATATACATTTTTTTATTTTATTTTATGGTCTGTATTGTTATTGTACTACGAGCATACAACGAAAAACTGAGCCTTTGCTCTTAACCCATCACCAAGGGCAGCAGTGGGCAGCTTTACATATATGTATGTACACTGTATGTATATATACAAGAAAAAAATAGCTTAGATTTGAAGCCATTTCACAAGCACCTCTACTGAATGAACATAATGACAGGATGAGTGCATGACCTTGTTCATCTGGAGGCTGTGTCATACTGTATATGTTAGTATTTGTATTTAAATATTATTACCATTGTTATTTTTTCCAATAGTCTGTATTCATACTTTCATGTGATGTATGGAAACTGTAGAATCTTAAAAGTAGCTGGACCCTGCTCCACTCGTTCGGACAACACATTTGAAATCCTTCCACTACCCACGCATCCTGTTTCTTAGTAATATAATAATTATAATAATTGAGTTGCTTAATTGTCCTACAATGGTGAAATTCACAATGTGAGTCTTTGAAAGGCTACCACAGGAGGCGCCTTTAAGCACGAGGTTGCAAATCAAAGACCGCCAACAGGGATATGTGGTCCCTTCGGGAATCGAACCCAGGACTCTGCTGTCTGCTTGAGAGGCAGGCGTGCTAACTGCTGCACTATGGAACCAGCCTACTGTAAATTTGATGATTATCTGATTATACACCATATTCCCCTGTGCTGTCTCGCGATGGCTAAGAAAAGAACAGATATACAAGTGGAATTATGTAAATGAATGCAGGAGACCCAGAATGAATAAGGACTTAGATCATGAACATCGCTGAGACATACAGCGTTGTGCTTTTCACTTTGAATGGTATCAGGCACGCAAGCGACTGGAGATAGGAAACTAATTTAATTCGCACCACCGTATATGTGGAGGCCGCTTTTAGAGTAGAAGGAAAAATAGGTGAAAAGTAGATTAAGGGAGACGTGCAGATTGATGAGGGAAGACAAATTGTTGGAAGACGCAGGGAGAAGGGTTAGTGTAGCACAGCATTATAGCATTGTACTGCTCTCAGGACAGTGACAGTACAATGGCAGTTGCTCTGCACCTTTCACAGCAGCTGTGGAAACAACAATCTGCTAAGTAGCTACGGGCCAAATGCAGAGAAGGAAATTTAAAAAAAAGGTAGCGTGACAGTTTTTTTTTTTCTTTCTTTCGTATTTTGGACTTTGCAAACAGATGTCATTTCAGAGAGAGAAACTTGGTTATCCCAAAAATTCTAAACTCGGCAGCAGCTTACTTTTTACAACTACAGTTCATGTCTGTTTTTTTTTTAAAGAAAAGTTGCTGCAAAATATTCTTCATATTTCGAACTTTTCTTTGTATTTTATTCACCAAGTACTGCAACAGTACAAACACTTATAAGGTGTTATTTAGATATCGATTTGTGCTTTAACAGTGCAGCAAATATCACGCCTGCCTTACACATCTGCCTTATCCACAGAAAGTCTTGGGTCATCTGTAATAGGTTTAAAATGAGTATGTCTTGAACTGCTTTGGTTCTTGGGCTCCACCCCAGTACTCTCATTGGTTAAGATGCCCGATGACTCCAGTCCCAGGACAGTGTTGACCCTGTCACCTTTGAGTATATATTCGTATTCTGACTCTTATTTTCTGACCCTATGTCCTGCTCATAAAATGTAATGATATGGTTTTTAATGTAAGTGTAACAATTCACCTGGACTGAAATCAAGGTCAAAAGATCTAAAACCGCAATCACTGAAAAAAATAAAAAATGTCACAGGCCTAAACAACTAGCTGGGCAGCAAACCACACAATAAATCAGAGCTTGAAATATATTTGTAATAGAACGACGCAGCAGAGCGAACAATATATGAATGATGCTGTAATAAATCAATATAGCGATTGGCACATCATATGTCATTCACCTGAGGCTTTACAGTGCAACACTTGGTAATCAATTGTAGTAGACAATAATAGTCCCCAAAATTCATGAAAAATACCCGACAGTCTCAATGGAAAAAGAATATTTGTTGAGACGCTGCTCCAAATGCAGAAAGAAGCATAATTGTACCCAAATTAACGCATTCCCCTCCCGGCTTCTTCTAGCAAAAAGGCACAGCTATGCGATCAGCACCCCCTACCCCACATGCTCCGCCCCGGGCATTTAACAATCTCGATTTCATCCCCATACCAAAGTTCAAACAACTAGCAGACAGCAAATATGTCACACTCTCCACATTTTCCAAAAAGGGAAACCTTTACGAAGGAATTATGACGTGCGATGCAGTACACAATATTGTATTTTTTTTTTTTTTTAACATGAATACTTTTCAAGTGCTTCTAATTATGTAAAAGCAAGCTCATTACCGAGAAAATATTCAATCCAACAATGTGACACAACAACGTGAAACACTGTTACGATCCCATTGGAAAATGTGCCGGCGAATCATGGCACAGATGGTTTGGCACCAAATCTGATTTGGAAGGTGCACAGTGTGCTTTCACACCTGGGAATGTGTCGTTGCGTTTTCACTTCTTTTTTTTTTCTTTTTCTTTTTTAAACAAATCACCCTTGAGGTATTCCAACAGTCCACGCACATATACAATTGTTCTGTATGTGTGGACCCAGTACGGCTCGTCTCGGTATGATCAGGATTTATGTTTCGACCTTACTGCTAGTGTGTGTAATAGCTGTAATTGGATCTGGTCTAATACTCTGAGCCATAAAGTTAATCAAATTACGAGCCTACTGATGCAGCCTGGAGGTTCGGCTGCCGCCTCACTACTGATGAATGTCAAATGTACAAACTGCGTTTACTGTTCAATATGTTTTACACAACACTTTCTGCTTGGATTTTTATCTCTGAACAAATACAAGATAAACTGGATTGCGGTAAATGGAAAATGCAACGCCACAGTACAGGGTCTGAACCACGGGTCACCAACCTTTTTTTAAACCGAGAGCTACTTCAAGTGCACTTAGTAATACGAAGAGCTACTTGTTTGATGCAGAGACAGTTTCAGACTGTGTATTTTTTTTGTGACAGAAGAAATTCAACCCAACTGCTTTTCTTGCTTTGGAAGTCTAGCTTAACCAAATTTATACTTAGAAAAAACATGTTCCAAGCTGTCTGTACTAGCGTAAGCAAGTCATCCTTAAAACTATTCAAAGTGCGATAATCGAAAAGTTATTCTAGCTACCAGCAACGCTGCCGGAAGGTGAAGGGTTCATCGCTGGATTACATACTGATCCGCAATCAACTCCAAAGAAGTCACCAATGAAGCAATGGATAGGTAGGTTAAGTGCATTTATCTTAGCATCCCTTGCTTATTACAAAGTCACTACAGTGTGTTGCAGGGATTTTGGCCACAAAAATTTAGGCTTATTTAGTCTAAAGGTTATTCCTATAGGCTTGACTAATCTCTCCATTTGTGATTTACAGATTTTTTTTTTTTTTGTAGAGTCATGTCGTTGGCTTTGATTAAAATACCAACCTAGACCAATTTTAATTATTTTCTTATGTCAAGAAAATACGTATAAATTGCTACATTTTAAGAAAAACTTTACAATGTAAACAACGTACACCTAGTTAGGTGATTTCCAATATTCGCTGCAAGACCTTATATTATATTCTTCTATCCTTATATTCTTTTGTATTTTCTTAAGTCAAAACAAACCTGTGTACCACATACAGTACACTATATGCTTGACAATGATACTTAACAGGTGACTTTAATTTTTTCACCAGACGACGGTGGTTAGCACTCCATACACAACAATGAGAAATAAACATAAACGGATACTGTTGAGCTAACAGCTCAAGAGCAGCTGTGACTCACTGGCCGGTTGCTTTCACACATCACAACCTTTAGTGTCTGAGCTCTGTGCATGAGTGGGAGGCAAAAACCCACCGTGAGTGTGTCAACTCCACAGAAATTCAGATTCACGGATGAATTAATGTGTCTTCATTCTTCAGAAAATACAATATTTTTACAAGACTGTACTACAGACAGCTGGGACATCACTTTTTGTCGACGTGCTTGTGCACAGGCTTGTGATTTCCTGTAGCCCCTCTCCCCGGCTGCTTGTTTGTTTTGGATGTATTTGTTTTTGTCGTTGTGTTTTTGCAGTGAGCCGTGACAGGCGCCTGGCAACCTCCAATCAGAGGGCATGAAGATGGCAACTGGCGAACGCAAAGAGAGAGCTTGTTGTTGTCGAAGGTACACCAAACCTCAGACACACCTCGTTCATTTGACTGGCAAACCCAGACACTGGAGAGTCAAAATAAATGACTGAAATAGCACTGAATGCTTCACATGACATCATAACATTATGTAATTTGTATTAACCCTAATGGATGTTCTTCATACTTTTGTGTATTCATCAGTAATCAAAACTCAATCAATAAAATGATATGGGTTTTTATGAGCATCTACAACAACTTTTTAGTACAGCCATTCCTCCAAATATTCTACAAGTTGCAGATTGCATCACCACTTCAGATGCTGGGTTACAAAAAAAAACCCAAAAAACAGGAAGTAGGTACTTGACACGGCCAGTTACAGTAAATGTCTCTCCAGTGATGAAAACGTTAAAACATTGGCAGTTATAGTAAAAAAATGAAAATTTTTGTGTAATTAAACTTACCTTAAGGTCGCGGTGGACCACGCCCATCTGGTGGCAGTGAAGCACAGCCTCGAGGATCTGCTGAATGCAATGGCTGCATGCAAACACCAGGGGGCTCAGAGTTAGTGACAAGCCTCCGGTTCATTTCTAAACACTGTGAGTTTGCTTTGACACATGGGAAAGAGCTCAGCTGTGATGGTGTGGTGGGAGAGGGGCCGCGCAGCACTGTACAGTGTGGTGACTGACCCTCCCACAGACTGAGACGGTGGGTAATTTAGGCTAAAATGGAACATTTACTCCACAGCACTGCACACATTTTTTTTTCTTTGGGTTGTGTGTGAGTGTGTGTATATATGTGTGTGTGTGTGCTGGGACAGACCCAGGAAAGAAAAACATGACTGTTATTATGCCATCATCTGCTGTCTGCCAAACACAGCCAAGTCTCAGCCCCAAGTCCCAAAACAGAAATGGTGTTAGCTTGTGATCAACTGAGAGGCAGAACCATGAGAAACTGAAGTTTTTTTTCTGTCTTTGAATTTGTAGCTGGTTGTCATGTAACAGAACCTCCCCACTTCACCTACTGAAGTGTGTCTAAATTATCTCAACAGAAAAAAAAATCCAAGTTTAAATCTTGGTTCATCCATTGCTGGATTTTCTTTTCAAGTTTAATTACAAATAGAAATCTTTAAATCGTGCTATGAAAAAGGTTTGATTAAGGTAGTGGATCCCAAAGTGGGGGTCTCAAAATGTCTCAAATTATGTATTTAAATTGCAACGGTTGATAGGAGGTGATTAACTATAAGGGTAATTGGATTTTTTCTATTGACTTATGTGCGTCAGAATATAGCAGGGTTACCACACTTTTCACTCACTGTTCTGTCACTCGTTGAAACACAAGGTACCAATCCTTAATTTGTCAATGATGATTGATGCTGTTCTGCACTTCCTGAGGCTGTAATATACTTAAGCATAGAAAACTGCGCCAGGTAAAACACACTAAATATTTCATCAAAATGTGGCGTTGCCCATTTGCTGGATCCTGATATATGAGATTCTTGGTGCTAGTACTTGAAGTTGCTGCTTCCATTTACACACAATGTAAAAGTGTCATGATTTAGTGTCCCCACTGTCAAGGGGGTCAATTTGTTGTTGTGGAGTGAAGCACATTATCTTTATCACATAAAAAAAAAGAGTGGATTCAAACAGTAAGAAAGCAAATAACGAAGGTGGAAGTCGAAGGTTTCAAAATTTGAAATGCGTGAAGTATATTTACCGTATTTTCCGGACTATAAGTCACACTTTTTTTTTGCGACTTAAAATAATAATATTTTAACATCTGTTATTTTCACTTTGACAGCCGCTAGAGGGCACTCTAGGCTTGTGTACCAGTATCTGCTACTCCTGTACCAATTACAATTTAAATGTTCCTTATTTTCACACTGACAGCCGCTAGAGGGCACTGGTGTGACTTATACTCCAAAGCGACTTATATATGTTTTTTTTTTTTGCATTTTTTGGCTGGTGCGACCTATATTCAGGAGCGACTTATGGTCCAGAAAATATAGTAGGTATTGAAAGCATACAAAGATACAAGACTTGAAATCAGCCAAAGCATAACAATGTTTTTTCCCCCATATATTCATATGTACATGTATGTGTTAACCTGCTTTTCACAGCTTTAATAAATTATTTTGTGTAGGATAAATATTGTGTAGGATAAATATTGAAGCATATGATATGTATTGATTTTGTTTAGGTTATAAATATTGAAGCATATGATATGTATTTGTCTTAATATACCACCAAATGCATGACTGTTATGTCCACACTGACCTGGCATCAGCCTCACTGTAGTACTCCCTGGCAACGATGTCCTCAAACAGCTCACCACCGGTCACTCTATACACACAAAGGGGTATAAAGTAAGTGAGTCTCTGAAAATTGTGTTTAAAACAAAGCAACAACGACACATTAATACTATTCTTATATATATTTCTTTTTAGTAAGTGTTTGGGAGTTAAGAGATGGCAGGAAATACAGTACGTGACGATGTGGCTGAGACACCCTGAAAGCCTGATATTTGAACTTGTAGGAGACTTCTGTGATCTTAGAGGTCTTGGAGACATCTGGTATCCTGGATCACTCTAGCCTACAGTTCATCTTTGAGGGAATGGCCTTCTGTTTCCAAAATGTCCTTTCAGTTTCATTGGCTTCATGCTTTCATGTTCTAAACCCCCGCTGTACAAAACAGACTAAGGTTTTTGTCCTCCATTGTCCTCAGAACATATATAATATATATGTCTGTGCAACACCCCATGTGTCACTATGACCAATTACCATATTTAAATAGTGTTTATGTGTCTTCTATGATGTGTAACGTTTATTGTCAACTTGCATTACCGGTCCAGTGAGCATGCAGATATTTTTTGTCAACATTTTTTTTTTACCTTGGAAACCTACATGACTCACTAAAAAGTAGGCTGTGGTCCACTTTTTGGTCGAAAACCCACCAGTTGAGAATCCCTGACATGGAATATTGATTTCATTCAACAATAATCAAATACTGAAAGTAAAAACAATAACAACAAAACGCCACAAGGCCCAACGCCAGCTAGGTTTGAGTCATGCATAAGATGGAGGGAAGCTGAGTAGATTTCATGGAATGATAGAGAGGAAGTTCAAAATATTAGGTTCACAATAAGGGGAGGATAATTGCTGCAATATTAACAAATTGGGAAATTGAGCTAATGGATGTTGGGAAGTATGACAACAGACAGCAGCAGCTGTGTAAAGATTAAGAAGCCGATGAAAGAACAAAAAACAAACAAAACTAAACACATTTACGATCAAAGGAAGGAAGGTAACCAAAGCATCACGATCGCCTTGACTCACTCAAGTAAGAAATCCTATGAATTATAGTAGAACTGTTGGGTTGCATGACATAAATCTGTAGAATTTCTATGTTCACACAGAAGCCAACAAACGCGCTATAAATAACGTGCAAAACATCCTGTTTTTGTTTCCAGTAACCTTCTGTAAAATGAAACAAACTGTTTGGAAACTTTAGAAGGGGGATGTAGAAGTAGAAGTAGAAGTAAAAGTAGAAATAAAAGACAAGTGAAAGAAAGAGTAGGAGAATGAGAATCTCATTTATTGTCATAGTACGTATGCAGAACTTCCCACATTTGGGGATAGATTTGAGGACAGACACTTTGATGACCGGGCAAAAATCTAATTTTTTCTAACATTATTTGATGTTGATTTTGGAATCCAGTCGTGGGTCGCACTGGACAGTTTGGCGGGCCGCAGGTTAATGATCACTGGCTTAGTGTAAGACCAAGCACAACTGAAGTACTTGAGTGCCTGATGTCGATTTACATTCCTTTGTTAAAAGAAGTCATTCGTTTGTTGTGTTTATTTGATCGTTTTGTTGCACACTAGTGTGTAACTCACTTCGATTAGACAAAATAATTGTTTTTTAGAAATAAAAAAATTTGTTTTCTGGGAGCTCGTGAAAACGCTAAGCCAAGTCTGAAATGAGCACTGGATGAGGATGTACCCGCTTAAACAGGCTAAACTGAAGGGATTTATGGGTTAATATAGTCAGTGACACTTGACTTTATATGAATAAATAAGTGCTGAGACACTCCGTAGAATTCTATATTTGAAAGTGAACTGTGTAGTTACTGTGTAGGTATCGAACACATAAGTTAAACTCGTAGTGGTTTTACATGTAAACCAAGTATTTTCAACCACTGAGACACACAACTAAAAAAAGAAAAAAAGGAATCCTACTTACAAGTCAAAAGAAGAACTAAAAAAAAAGGAATCCTACTTACAAGTCAAAAACCAGGTAATGGAATCCTTCTTCTGATATGCTGTCATGGAGGCGCACTGGAGAGTACCAGGAGGGTGGGGTAAGAACAGGGAAAGGGAGAGGAGAGAAAAGAGAAATGAAATTTATTTCATTATGTGAAACACTGCTCCACTGATCCAGGCAACCTGCCATAGGACCAGCAGGAGCTGACTGCAAGAATATGGAACACTTCACTGAAGCACAAAGTAGTGTTGTTGTTGCCTCCTCTCGGTGGGAAGTGTGGGTGAGAGTCGAGACGCCAAGGTGAGGTGTGTGTGTGTCAGACTGAAGTGCTTTTACAAATACATATTCTGCATGTCTCAGCAGAAAGAAACATTTTTTGACATGATGATAACGGTCTTCATAGAAAAATGTCAATATTTATCTCGTTTACAACATCTTAGGAGAGACTCTAAGCATATTATAGGATCCAGAGGACCATAACAACACATAAGCAAATGAGTGATTTACAACTGAATTGACTGCTAATTAAATCAAAAGTGAAACTGAATTAGATTCAAACAATGTTTAAACATTAGCACAGTGAAGAATTTCACTCTTTGGCTCTTCATTCTGTCACAGTGAAAATAACAAAATATATATGACGACAAATATTCAGACAAAAAACAATGGGGTTGATGTATAATAAAATACATTCAAATGAGGTGAAAAACCAGTGGTGTAACACTGTTGTTCCTACCACGCCGCTTTACGTATCAAGCAGTAAATAGTAAATAGTAAATAAAGTGCAACTCATGCACTATAGTAAAAAAAATAATTCCCTAATAATTCCCCCTACTTTGGGAGCCACCAAATTCATCGAAGTGAATCCGTGAAAACGGACCAGAGGGGGCTTGCTATAATGAATAATCCACAATCAGAGCAGTTCTATATATTTAAAGTCTAATTTATGCCTCGCTTTTCTCTTTTCTCCGTGGTGAAAGATAAGGCGTCACTGGATGAAACGGAGAATTCAAAAAGGCTTCAGATTTAATAACTTACCTCTATATTAGTTTAAACTTTATTAAACCGAACAGTAAACCAGTCAGGCTACCGTTTGATCGATAACAGTTTAGCCACCTTTATGCTTTAAAGGGCCACACAATAAAAGCTCAGCTAGGATCGATTTTTAGCTCCGCTGCAGTAACTTCCTCATTGATTGGTTTGGCCTATTATCTGGTCAGCAGGGAATAACCTGTGGGAGAGGTCTGGTATTTACTCCGAGTGAAATGGGCCGATCATTCTACTGTACCACTATATATACACTGTATATATATATATATATATATACATACATATATACATACATATATATATATACATACATGCATATATATATACATACATATATACACATATACATACATGCACATATATACATACATATATATGTACATACATACATACATACATACATAAGTTGTTGTTTTGTTTTAGTGCGAGTATTAAATTACAACATGACTCAAAAGGACTGTTTTCACCCCCACTTTACAATATCTATAAATAGTATGTGATTATACGTTATTAATGTTTGAAGCCTTGAAACGAATCCAGGCTTTCTCTGTGCTGGGTCCTTTGTCAGCGCAATGCTAATGAGACCAACAGCAGCTGCTACCTGCTCATCACTGTGAGACAAGTGACAGATCACCTTCCAGATGAGAATGTGGTAATATTGCGAGATGATAGGAATCTGTCGGGATAGATTCAACGTTGGTTTCTTTAGGACAGCAGAAAGTCACATATTTTAAAATGTATTTCTGTGAGATCCATATAGTTTGTTTATTTTTTTACTCTGAATACAAATGAATGTATGAATTTTTACACCAATAATTTTAGGGTATAAGAAGTTTCTGAAGTATTAAAAAAGGTTTTAAAGTTATTTAAAAAAAATATTAACGTTGTTATACTCTCCATATATAAAATACTTATTACCATTAAGGGGACTTCTGGTTGGTGCATGGTTTTGATGCGATTTACTCCCGGGCAAAAACGTATGTATGGATTAAAACGTGTGACAGAGTTATAAATATATGGTTCCATAAAAGAGTTTAATAGACAGCATGTAAGAAAAACCTAAATTTATCATACGGTCATTAAATGCAACACCACTGCTGATTAGAGTGTTGCTGCTGTCCTTATGGTAGGTGCACATGTTAGGAGGTCCGTCATTAATTAATTTGATTATATTAATTTTATCATTAACTGTACTGTTGCTCCAAAATGGACTGACTTTGTTTTCACGTTTCATGCCAGAAATAAAAGATTACGTACCAAGCTGATGATTTTACGGCAGTTATTTAACACAACGCAAAGAGAGTATGAGAGGGTTTTTTTTAAAGATTATTTTAACACTATGATTTCTGTAACGTTTTACTTGAATATCAGCTATATTATTTATTACTTGTGTTAAGAAGTACAAGCTAAGATTTATCTAAGAGCCAGATGCAGTTATCAAAAGATCTGGCTCGTGAGCCATAGGATATTCATAAACTGAAGAGTTTTTTTTTATATTTAGATTCTGGATTAAAAACTAATCAAAAACTTGTTTGGGACACAGTGCAGACACAAAATTATCTCAAAAATGAACTTGTTGTTGGAGGAATCTTCCAGGATCTTACCTGTTAGACCTTTTAGGGTCACTGTGACACCATCTAAACTTTTGGAGACTTTTGCAGGCCAACATTGATAAAATCATTGGACATTAAATCACTTTAAGTCTTTGTTTTATACATGATATATAAACTGCATCGACTTTTCTGAAAAGTGGAAATTGTAATTGTCAATTAACCATGATGCATTAGCCCCAATAGCCTTCAGAAATGAAATAATACGTAGGTACAGTTAGAGTCACGTCAATAAATTAAACCGTTGTGAAACAGTGCTGTTTAACGAGACCCTCTGTGGACACGTTTGTCTGTTGACGTGACACCTGAAAGAGACATACTCTCTAAATAACCCCTGATCACCAGGGGCTCGTCGCTGTCGCCCACTCTTAAACGCCATCTCCTTGAAAAGCTATGGAAATGGACCAAACAACCTTTAAACGCTAGTTTTCACTGTGTCATTACCGAGGTGCTAATTATCGTCTTTTGTATCTCTAGCCGTGTGTTTCACAGCGCTTGTGCGTGCATTTTAAGTGTGGGCAGGTGACCTTTTCTTGCAGATACAAAATGTATGTAATTTAAATATACTAACAACAACAGCCCTGTTGGCTACACCATGTACATTTAAAGTTGTGCATGTTTTGTTTTTTTTTTTTCCATATTTTCCAAACTTAGCCATGTCTTTGCTCCTTTTCGATGCAGCCGTGCTACAATACAAAATCTATACATTTGAACAGCTCACACTAATCTGTAGTGTGTGCCCAGTGACACTCATTTTCCAGTCAAACAGAGGCTCAAACTGCTTACCAATGTTGGCATGCTTCAAAAGGCGACAGATCCTGGCTTCGCGCTCCAGCTTCTGGTGGTCTGCAAGAGAGAAGAAGGCGAGGCATTCTTTTAAATGTCAAAACAGAAATTCCTTGTGCTAAATGCCAGTGTCTCCTTTGTCAACATTAAACCATGAAATGTGACTGTACTGATGTCGGAAGATTAACTTGAGAAAAATGTCCTGTTTTTTTTAATGCCATAGTAACTTACACAACACCATACACCATAATGGTATCTTCAATAGTCATTTAAGAATTTAAAGTCATGACAGCAGACATGTGTCTTACAGCTCTTAAACCCTATATGCATGGAATTATCATTACCTGGGGACCTCCGGTAATTTGTAATGATTGCAGAGAATGTCTGTGATCTTAATCCCGTGTGACTGCAAGGCGAATGTAATTTGTAAAGTAAAAATTCCACTGCAAATTACCTATCATATCATCGCCAAACACATACGTCCCGTGATAATACTAGCTCCCGCGCATATCTGCATCTCGGTGACAGCAGGGTATTTTAGTTGTTGTTTTTATTGCGCCTGGATATCAGGAGGTAATTTACAAATTACCTGACGTCCCCGGGTAATACTAATCCCGTGACAATTACTGATCTTTCTGTGAACTGAAAAGACCAGATACGTTCAAAATACAACAAAACAAAAAACAAAACAGAACAGAACAGATTTTAGTCATCATTTAATGATGATTAACATTTACCTAAACAATTCCCAGTAATATGTTTGGCAGCATAAACGAAGCAGCTCTGGTTTTTATAATTATGTACACTTATTGACAATGCTATGTAAAAATAATTAGCTTTTAAGTGAGATTGTCAAAAACATCTAAACACCTTTAGTGAGTGTGCTGTATTTCAGGCCTGGATGAAACATAGATAGGAGGAAAAAAAAAAGTTTCATTTAAAAAGCAGTGTCCAAAACAAGCACAACAATTTCTCTATGGCAACTGGACATATCCAAGTTATTCTGACTATGTGATTCTAAAAAAAAGCTGAGGTAAGAGGCTGTGGGTGGAACTTGTCAAACAGTAATTATTTCATCAAAGAAGTGAGACAAAGGTGGTTTCTTCTACAGTTCACTTTTTGAAAAAGAAATGTCCTGCTTTCCGTGAAGACACAACGATAACTCATCTTTAAAGTAAAGGATAAACCAAGGACACGCCTGCCTCCTTCACTTGGCTGTGTATCAATGAAAGCTAATGCTGCCAAAGTTCATTCACTTATGGCATCATATAATCTGTTGAATTTAATCACATTCAATTAAAGCATTTCAACAAGTGCAGAATGACATAAACCGTACAATAAATCCATCGTCCATCCACTTATCTTTGCTCACAGTGTTTTCCTGTCTTGAGCCACAGCACGTTACATCAGAAATATCCATGACACATTTCCAACAAAAATGTAACAAAGAGTACTGTACATGTAATGAAACATAATGATCTTTAATTTACTTACAATTGACTGACTCAGTGTAGAACCAAGGCCTTTTAGTTGAACACAGCACTGATACACTCGCAGGAATTGAAGAAAGTCACACACAAATTTCTTCAACAGCTCTGAAGCTCATTATTTTATCTATTGCCAACTATTGGAATCGTATTTAATTTAATTGTTCGACCACACATACCAATTAGGTAAAACGTGCATTTCTGAGGGCTTCACCCTCAGTGTAGACACTAGGTTTGCATCACCAGCCTTACTGAGCACTGGGCACCAAGTCTAAACCTTTTGTCATATTTAGGATTCTTGTCCTAAATATGTCAAAATTCTTGCCCATCTAGAATTTCTTGAACAGATTAAAAACATTTAATCTGTTCCAAAGTGTCTTATTTGTGGTGGCAAAACGACACAAGCAGCAACAACCGCCGTTTTTGTTAATACAGCAAGGTTGAATGAATAAAAGTTGAGAGCCACTCATAAGAATTTGCTCTTCAGTCAAGTCCACTCTGACGCTGTAGTGCAGGAGTCACCAATATGGTGCCCAGGGGCACCTGGTAACCCCTGTGGACTACCTAAGGTGCCTGCTGCATATGTTCTAAAAGTAAAACTAGTCAACAAGAGGGTCAAAATTGTACTGTTACTGTGCTTTTTGAATCAGTTCCACTTGCAATGATATTCAAATGGGTGCAAAGACGATGGTAAGAAGAGTGTCTACTATTGTATGTCCTAGAACTAATTACGGTATTATTCAGTGTTCAGGAAGTCTGTATCAAACAAGTAGCTCTTCATATTATTAAGTGCTATTGAAGTAGCTCTCAGTTTGAAAAAGGTTGGTGACCCCTGCTGTAGGGTTTCTGATACAGTTGAGTTTTATGCCAACACTAAATAACGGTTTCTACAGCGTAATGTGTTTGATTAATGGTGAGGCACTGTGCCCATTGTATCCAAGCAAACAGCAGTAAAATTGGCTTAGAATGGAAATGTTCCATCGTTTTAAGGAGCAGATCTATTCATGACAGGGACTTTGACTTTGTAACTGAATGATATATTACTATTATTTGATGACCCTTCTTAACAAATATGTTGTGGCATTAGTTTCAATCACACCAGAGTTCACACATTTTTGTTTGTAATAAGACTTAAAAATAAACAAACAAAAACAAAAACAAAAACTAACTTTACACTTAAAGTTATCTTTGCAGTTAGCTTATTAAAGGAGACTTCTCTCCCATGTTTCACGTTACAGATTTCCATTTCACGTTTTGTCGATTATCAGGCTTTCTAGAGAATTTGATCTTTCCCTGTAACAGGCTCAATGTTGTGTTCATGTAAGGTTGAGAAGAAGTGGGAGTAAAAAAAAACTAAATTTGAATTAGTGTTATCCAGTTTAGAGTTGTTTTTATTTTATAGAAGTCATGGAAATGTTTCTACCGCTTTATCCTTTGCAGGGTCTCAGCATTGGCTGGAACCAATCTTGGCTATAATATAGGTCAATAGGTCAGGGTTCAACCTGGGCAGATGCAGATGATTCGAAGGCCACATTTTAAGATTTTTAAATTCTATAGCCAACTTAGCCAGTAGCAAATCAAGCTAATCTGCATGTTTTTGGACTGTCTGAAACTGGAATTTCCAAAAAAAAATCCCAGACACACACTGGAAGTGCAAGCAAACCCAACATGTATACAAACAGTAACCACTGGTAAACAAAGAAATTGAACTTGTTACCTTCTTGCACCAAGGCAGGAAGACCAAAAATCAACTGATGGCAAAAGCTATATAAAAAAAAAACAATTCTACAACTTAACACAGACACTGTTAAATTTTTCTAGGAATATTTTCATAATGACTGTTTAAAAACACAGTAAGAGGGTATTAAATTTCATGAACTGAAGTTTGGGATTTAAATTTCTGTGAATATAATGAAGGCTTTACTGTTTTTAAAGGTACACTTTGCCTGTTGTACTATTTTTCCCTTCCACTGCTTTGAAACTCCTTTGTCGACATCAATTTAAAGGATCCACTTAGTCACGCAATAGTCTTGGGTTTAGAATTACAACCTATTGTACTGTTTTTGTTCT